CAGAACTCATTTCATGAGTTCTAGGGAGGCCTCAGTTTCAGGAAAAAAAAAAAAAAAAAAAAGCTTAAAATCCCTAAACAGGCTAGAAAGTGAGTCCCAAAGTGTTTGAAATGCAACTCCAAAGTCATCACAGCACAAAAATTGGTGCATTTGCCAGCTTGCACATTGCCAGCAAGTTTTAATGCTCGTCTAGTCCATCACCAGGGCAGCACCAAGATGCTTCCAATATCCACCACCAGTAGCGCGGCGAAGCGGCAAGCGCCAAAACCAACAAGTGCTCCAAATGCTCCAAGGAAAAAGAGGGCAGGAGACCAACAAGCACCACAAAGCCCTTCAACAACTCCAGTTTTTAAAAAGTAAAGACAACACAAATACCACTGTTCACTCATAGAGAAGAGAACCCCCCGAAGTCGTCCACTTTGGGGTAAGTAAGAACCTCTCCCAGCACAGCCCACATGCTGATTCCTGCCATGCTCTCAATCCTGCACTTCCCCAGCAAATCTCAAGTGCCAGGATGGCCAGGGAGCACCACAGACCATGGAGCAGCTCCCAGCCACGTGGCAGGGCAGCTCCCTGAGCACAACCACGGCACCCGCTCTGCCCACTCCAGCACCTCGAAGTTGCTCCTCAGACAGGGCCAAAGGAAAAATGGAAAAAGCTGAAGGTCCCAGCATGGAAACAGTGACAGACTGGGAACACACCGTCTACTGTGGTGTTTTGGAGGGGCTTTTCTTGCTGTTGTCCCCACAGGGAGGGTAATAATTTAGATGATGAAGAGTATCTTTGTCCAAATGCTCTTTGGACATTTGGGTTTCTCCCAGTCCCACCGGTTGGGCCCAAGCACTAAAAGATTTTTGTGGGGATAGCAAGGAGGGAATCAGGATCACGAAATTAATTGCTTTGCATCCAAACACCCTGCTGTGGGTAGAGGGGGAACTTTCTGGGACAACCTAAGCTCTCCACCACCATCGCCAGACCCTGACATGCATATTCAGAGATGAACAAGCCGTGGAAAGACAGAGAGGAGGGAAGGAGGGAAAAAAGAGAAAGATAAAAAAGGAGATGGATGGGAGGGAGGGGAGTAAAAGGCTTTTACTTACCGAGTTGCAGGGTGTGCCTTGAGCAGTTAAAGACAGAGCCTTATGGAGCAGTTCAGCCGTATCACACACAGTGTAAAGCTTGGTGTTAGCGTCCAGCATGCGACTGTTTTGTTTGCAAAAAGAACCCCACACACAGGTCTTCCTCTTTCCCTTTGTGTGTTTTGTTTGTTTAAATCCCGGAGGGTTAGTTAAACTTGTAAGCAAGGATGTCAGTTAATCTCAAAAAACAGTTGACATGAAACACAAACTGTACAGGGACACATCATGCTCAATTTAGCGCGTTCTGCTTTGCATTTTTGGTCTTTCATAACTTCTTTCTGACAGTTGGATGTTTCCAGCAAGCAAATGTTAAAGAGTTCTTCATGCTCCCTCTACAGTGAAGCAACGGCTCCGCACGAGAGCCGCAGGGATCATTTTGTAGACGGGGAACTAAGGTGAAGCCCCACTGCCATCTCTTGTTTTCTTTCCTGGGCTTTGTCAAGAGCGTGAGTGAAAACTGTTCCAGCCCCAAAGCAGCCTCATGCTGTACCAAAACAGCCCAACAAGCCCTGGAGAAGGCTTTTGCCCTAAAATAATTTTCCTGCCCAAGAGGCAGGAAAAGGGAAAGGAAAAAAGCATCCTTTCCACAGGCAGGCTGCACCAAATCCGTGATGGCTTAGCAGCGACTAACGAGCCGACTCGCTCACCCTTCTGCTGCCAGCACGAGGGCTAAGGGGCTTGCAATAAAAGCACTTACTGCTCTGTAAAGTCCAGTTTGGAGCAAAACACTATATATTTAGGTGAAAGCTGGACAGGCAGATCTCAAACAGGCAGCCCTGATGCCCTCTCCTCGTGGGTGACTTGAACAGGGCTTCACTCACGGACCCGACGGCCAAAACCTGTGTTGTGCGGCCAGGTCTGAGCAGGCCGTTGCTTCAGGGTACAGGGAGCCAGCAAGCAAACACACAAATATATCCATTGACACATGTATATACACTTAGAGAGCACGCACACGTATATCTGTGAATGACAGCTCGTAACAGAGGCAATAAAGGATGCGCTTCCAGCCCTCCCTACCCAGCGGAACAAGGACGGGGACTGACAGGAGTGCTGGTGGGTGTGAACAGGGAATGGGTTGGGAAAGTCTCCCAGGTCAGCTGAGGGGCTGGACAATGCAGTGGCCTTCCACTGGGAAGAGTAATTTGGTTCAGCCACAGCTGAGGCAAACCCTTTGCCAGACCCTGAGATCCATGAGGCCACAAGAACCCCACCTTCCTGCCTCCCCTGCTCGCAGGCAGCCTGTGAGATGGAGCCCTCTGAGGTTAAAGCCCTGAGAGGACATTCCTCTGAGGACACAGATTTCCCAAGGGGACCGTTTCCAGGACAGAATTCCATTCTACATCCCTGCTCACCAAGCATGAACGAGCCAACCCTCGCACAGAGGGCAGAGCTCTGATGAAAACCAAGGGACAACTCTCCCACTGACCTGGAAGGCAGCAGGGAAACAGCTCCTGCTTGGCCTCCAGGGACCACCAGCCTGGATGCTTTGGGTGACCATGGATGGAAGAGAAGGGAGGGCAACCATGTGCAAGTAAGAGAGGTGATGGGCCGTGAGTGGCCAGTGGCCACGAGACACACAACAAGGTGAAACCTTTTGCACCCCCTGAGGAGTGAACCGTGTCCGTGCAGCCACGGCACCGAGCAGGGAGCAGTACCTTGTGCTCTGTCTCCTGAGCCAGCTGGCTCTGGAGCTGCTGGAGCTGCTCCGAGGAATTGCTGCAGAGCTCCTGGTAGGTCTCCTTTAGGGCACCAATCTGAGCAGAAATCTGTTCCTTTTCCGGTTGGGAAAGCCTGCAAGGAGAAGGGGAAACCTCTCAGGATACTGCACAAACCACCTCCAAAGAATTACCATGTTGTTCTGGTGAAGGAAAATGCCAAATCCACCATGAGTTCCTTCTTCCCACTGTCCTACTCCCTCCCAGCTCAGCTAAAACCTGCAAGGATAACTGAGCACAGGTTGACCTGCATTGTAGAGATCAAATCCCAAAATATACGGGGCTGGATCACTACTACAGAGGATTAACATTGCCCCACAGCATAAATGGGTCGCAGATTTCACAGTTCTCTTTGCAGATAAGAAAGAAGTCAATTGTTATGTGCAGCTAATCATTGTTTTCAATTGGAGTCAGGCACTGGACCCCAGGAGCACCAGCCCACCAGTGCCAGCTCTAAGGAATCTCATCTCCCACCCCTCTGTTCTCTCTGCCTGGCTCCTCCTTGGGTCACACTCACTTGTGGCTGTGTTTTGCCAGGAAGATTTGGGAAGTTTTGATGGCCTCGGAGACCTGTTCCCTCTTTGCAGTCAGCTCCTCATTCAGGGCCTGGGAAAAAAACAGAGACAAAGAAGTTTAAAACCAGCCGTGGAAAAAGAGCAGAAGTTAAACCTCAGCGTCTGATGGTCACTTGTGCTTTACCTGCTGCTCTGAGATGGATTTCTCGATGTCACCCAGCTCTCTGCTCCCAGCAGCAGCCATCCTGCCTTGCACACTCTGCTTCAAGCCCAGGGCCCAGCCCAGGAGTTCCTTCACCTTGTCCACGTGCTCCTGCTTCTCCTCCTCCACTACTTTCTGCAAAACGAGGGGGGAGGAAGACAACCACGTCAAAGGGGGATCTCCAAAGAGGGAGAGGCGTAACCTCAACAGGGAGCAGCACCCTTAGGGGGGGAGGGAATGAGCCTGCACAGTCTGAACAGAACTCAGCTCCGTTCCACACCCTCACCTCCTCCTCCTCCAGCCGCCGGAGCGCATCGCTGATGTACTTCACGTGCTGTGTGGTCAGTGTCACCAGGGCCGTGTAGCGAGTCCGCAAATCCATGAACTGCCAAGGGAGAGAAGGGGGAAACGGGAGAGATCAGCCCCACCGGCAGATCCGGAACGATGTACTTTACAGTACTGTGACACGGATGCGGCACCTCTCGCTTGGGAACCCCCCCAAGGCACCTGGCAGACCCAGAATGGCATCAATGGAATGCAGCAAGTCTGATGGGGAGGGTTGTGGCCACACATGCCATGCTGCACGACACTGGAGCGAGGGGAGACTCCGGTCACGGACACTGGGGCGGATGCTCAACTCTGACAGAGGGCTACCGGGATCTTTAATATCCACACAGAGCAGACAGGACCTCGGGGCCCTAAAGGTCTCATCCCAAAGATCCACACACAGTAACGCTGCATGGTGCTCTGGTTATTTACCTCACAAGGCTGAAGGGCTGAGCCGACCCCGCTGGATTTGACCCAGGGGTTCCCAGGGGTTCCCAGGAGTCTACGTATGTCATACCTGGTGCTTAGAGCACTAAGCCATCCCCTGTGGCTATTGGAAAAAACAGCGAGGGTGGAAACTTTATTTACACAAGAGAGTTCAGCAGAAGGAGCTCATTGCACAGGGACTGCTCGTAGGTTTGCTCGGCGTCGAAGGACCCCCCCCAAAACACACACAGTTTCTCCCTGCTGAGGTTGGGTGGGTGGCTGTGCTCCTACCTCCTGTGTGATGGCATCCGAGGACGAGAGCATGCGCCGGCGCTTCATGGGAGACTTCTGCTGCGACTCCACAAAGGCCCTGTACGTCATCAGCTGCAACTCATAGTCCTGAAAACACAGCCAGGGGTGGGGGAGACGTGGAGCATGAGGGACACAAACTGTGCCACGGCTGTTTCTGCACAGCCAGTCTCACCCGGGTGCAGGAGGGGAACTGTACCTTGACGGCGGCCGAGTACTGCTGGGAGAACTTCTGACACTGGTCCAGCTGGGCTTGATTTTTCTCGATTTCTGCAGCCAAAGCCTTCAATAAAATTCAAAGCAAAAAGGGTTGTCAGGACAAGTTGTCTGAGTCGTTGCCCAGAGAAGCTGTGGCTGCCCTATCCCTGGAGTGTTCAAGGCCAGGTTGGAGCAACCTGGTCTAGTGGAAGGTGTGCCTGCCCATGGAAGGTGGTTGGAACCAGATAGTCTTTAAGATCCCTTCCCAAACCATTCTATGATTCTATGACAGCTGCCACAGTGGGGTGAGCTGAATTCTGGTTCCCATCCCTCCCCTTTTGGGTAAAGTCTTCGTGTTCTTCAATTTTTTCACGCAAGACCTCATCTCCACCTCAAGCTGAGCTTCTCCACTTCCCAGACACCCAGCTCACGCCTGCAGCCTCTTCCCTGCTGTGTTTCGTATTTTCAAGCTCACACATGAAAAGAAGTGACACTGTCAGGGCAGCAACTGTGCTGAGACATCACGAGGTCCTTCCTCACCGTTTGCTGGCTGAGCTGCTCCGACAGCACCCGGCTGTCCTCTGCCTGCCCAGGCTTCATCAGCTCCTGCTGGACCGTGATCTCCTCGATCCAATGGATCAGGGCACTGTGGCACTGCCGGTAATCACTCAGCACCTCCTGGATGCTCTCCAGCTCCGTGTGGCTGAGAGAAGAACCACGACAAGTAAGAGGAAGGTGAAACGCCAGGGGTATCCCAGCCACCAGTGGGAACCCCATCTGGAAAAATATCGCTGCTAACAAGCCTGGCCCCAGCTCTCAGCTGAAGCGTGAAAGTAAATCGGAGGGAGGAGGTAGCAGGAGGTTCCTCACCGGGTCTCAATCTGGGCGCAGACTCGCTGCCAGCGATCCCACAGCTGGCTCCCCTTCTCCTGGTAGCGCTCCAGGTCGATGTTGCGCTCCTGCCTCAGCCGGTACAGCTGCTCTCCCACCGCCTTCGCCTTTGCCATCTCCTCCTCCAACGTGGAGAAGACAGAGCCCTTGTCCTTCACTTCCCCGAGCCATTGCTGCAAAAACCAGCAAGAGACAGCCCTGGTTCACTATCCAAAGCAGGAGGGACATTAGGTCGGAGATGTCCTCCTGCCTGGGGCTGAGAAGCCTGAGAAGGGGTTAATGGGCTTATTTTCCCACTTTCCTTAATGTGCAAAGAACTAGGAGGTTATAGAAAGTGTAAAATGAAGGGGATCTGTTCCCAGTCTGTTCCCAAGTCAGATTGGTTCGGTCCCTGTCCTACAGGAACAGGACATGTAGCTGCTAAGATGCTCAAGTGTGCCAGCATGTGCCCTATAAGAAAGTCACAGCAGTTTCTTTACCTTTACAAAACAATAAGGGATCACATAAGCAGCACAAAATCCTCCCAGCTATATCGAGGCAAGAAAAACGTCACGCAGCCAAAATTCAGCAGAGAAAGGGAAGGACCCTGCTTGACAAACCAAGAGCACCCAACCTGTAACGCTGTCCTGTGAGACTGAATGGCCGCCAGGTCAGCGGGAACTGCCTCCTCCTGGCTCAGCTTCACCTCGTACCCTTTCACCAGGGATTCTGCTCCTTGGGTGTTCCGGATAATAATGTCAACCGTCTTCAACCTGACAAATCAAACAGAGGGAGCGCAATGACATCCAAAATTTGGCAGAGATCTTGACTGCGAGGCAGTTTGGCACTGTCTGCCATGGAGGGATGGAGCTTGGTTACGGTCCAGCGCAAGGTGTGTTGGGCAGGTTCAAAAAGGTATTTGGGAACAGAAGAACATCCTGACTCACTTTTCCAGGTAGATGGAAGACAGCCCATGTGTCTGGTCCATCTTGTTCACCACCAGGTCCAGCTCTGCACGCAGGTGGGGGGTGCTGGACCCCGCGGGCGCCTTGTCGAGGAAGCTGTAGCACCTCTCGGACACAAACCGCAGGTCCGACTGCAGCCGCTGCAGATCCTCCTGCATTCGCTGCGGGAGGGAGGGAGAGGACGTGAAAGGAGAGCCCAAACAGGCAGAGGAAAAGCAGGATTGCCCTTGGCAAAGGAGATGGTAGGAAAGGAAGCACGGAGCCCACCTGCTGAGGTTTCCTGCTGCCTTCTGTGCAGCAAGATCCCCTCAAACCCCACACATTCACGCACCCATCACCCACACGTTCATTCCAGAGAAGCTACAGCTATTTTTGGACCAGTGTCCACCACCTCCCTCCCCTGCCCATCTCCCAGCTGCAGGCCTGACCTCCTGCTCTGCAATGCGGATGGTGTTTTCCTGGATAGTGTCACCATCTGCTCGGGCACTGCTCGGGGACTGGATTCGGCTCACAAGCCTCTGCTCGCACTCCTCCAGGCGCAGGCGGATATTCTTGAGCTCGGAGAGATACGTCCTGGCAACAGTCTCATCCTTGTCTTCTGCAAGTCAGAGACAAACAAAACAGCAGCTCAAACACCCCCAGCCAGTATCTGTCCCAAATGGGGTCTGCCGGAAGCCTCAGAGCTGAGCACAGCATCGCACCGACACCAGGATCTCTGCTCAGACGGAAAACAAGTTAATTAAATCATCTCATTCAAACACATCCGAGGAATGAGTCCAGCCACAAGGAAATTCATGTAACAAAGCTGGAGTCCTGAGTCCTAACGAGACTCACAGTGTCACAAGTGCCACCACCACATATACTTCCCCAAAGACTAAACTCAGGAAGAAGTCCTTGCTCAGAATGTATCCTAATGACTAAACCCATCACCAACAATATTAGGGTAAGAGGACTCAGCAGTTAAGCTGAGGCTGCAAAGCCAAGACCTCTCTGCAGGAATATTGCTGGACAAGGGCCGAACACTCGGATGGATGGATGGAGAAATAAGGAGAGTAGCTGCTTACGCCATCAGCCAGCTAGCTCGGGAAAAGAAGAACATGAAGCCATCCCATAAATCCTTTGTTTATGAGTTCCCACAGCTCCTGGTTAAACCATCAGCCCTTTGAAGCTCACCGTTCTCCATGGACTCCAGCAGCTGCCGGATGTGTTCCTTGGAAGACTCCACTTCCTCCTCCAGGCGCAGCCGGTCCGACACCGAGAAGAGCTCCGAGTCCCGGCTGTCCTGCAGGAAATCCTCGTAGTGCGCCTGGAGGCTCTTCAGGGCTTGCTGGCACTCCCCTTGAGCCAAGGATCTGAGCTGAGAGTGGAAAAGCAGCACATCCAAACATTGGGAACAACTTCCCGCACATCACCTGCAGCCACCCTCCCCACCTGAACCACCCTCATTTGCCAAGGCAGTATTTCCAGAGGAGAAAAGGCAAACCCTCGACATCAGCCTCGTGCCTCCCCACAGCTGTGCTCACTCCCTAATTAAATGCTCCATCCACGATCTCTCATCTTTTATTCAGCTCAGCAGCAAACTCCTGATGCTCTTCTTGTTGGGAAAAACTGCAATCCTTTTGCACAGCACCCCCAAGCTCAGGTTTTCCCACTGCTCAAGGTGTAAAGTCCCTTGACTTCTCCACTCTTGAACTCTGGTCTTCCCCCTCTCCTCTGCCACACAAAGGAGCCCAGACAAGAGCAACACAACCCCAGAGCCAAGCATGGAAGTTCCTCCATACCTTTTCCATGCTGAAGCTTTGCACCAGGGCAATGTCCTTCCGCAGGTAGTTCCAGGAGATGAGGCTCTTTGTGTTCATGTGGAGCTGGTGCCAGAGAGCCATCACTTTCTGGTACAACTGTTCTACCCTGTAAGGGGAAGGAACAGATCCATCAGCCCTGGATCTTCCCTGACCCTGTTAATCCTCCAGCCCTCGCTGCCAGCCAGCAGCCCATCAATCCAGTGATCCCAGTCTGGCAGCACACCGGGAGTGATGCTCCTGCTGTTCAGTGCCAGAGATCCCTGGGGGGATCCCTCCTCCTGAATTGTCATGTTCTCTTTTGCAAGCTGCTATAGCAGTGCTGGGGAGTCTGCAGCTCTAGAACAACAAGGGATTCCTTTCCTTGCCACAAATCAGCTGTGCCACCCGCTCCCGTTCTCCACCCCAGCTTCTTTCCCATTCCCACCCCAAATCTGTCCCCTCCCATGACACCATCCCATCTCCGTGACTCTGCCGTGGTGGAGAGACCACCAAAGTACCTGTTGGCCATCTCGATGGCTTCTTTGTTGGGCGGAGGGATCAGGAAGCAGACAGAAGGCACCATGGCCTCGTTCCCTGTGGGGCTGATCACCTTCCACTTGGTCCTCTGGGAATTGTCCTCCAGGACACACTCATCGTTCCTGCAGATCGTGATCTGAGGCAGCACCAACACCACCAGCCCATCAGAAACCAGCAGCAGAGCCACACATGCCTGCCCCCGCTGCCACCCTCCCTCACAGGGGTGAGCCAGCTCCCAAAAATATACAGATAGATATATTTTCATCAAGCAAAAGCCTGGAATAGTGCCAAGCAGCGCAGCACACTCGTGTCTGGAGAGGAAGGGACAAGGAAGTTAAACGGAGCTGGCTGCCACCCATGTGCTTGTTTGGCTGTGGCTGATGAAGCCCATCCTCCTTGGGGAAGAAAGGACTTCAGCTCCTGCCCAGAATAAATCTGAGACATGGAAATCTGCACCAGGAAAAACAGCCGTGCTATTTCCCTCCTTCTGTCTTCCCACTCTGTTCCTGCTTCCCATCGACAGACACCATGGAGCTCATTCTAAACTGTCACGGGTGTCACTCCTCTGCCTCGTCCCTGCCTTCCCTTTGCAAGTTCTGCTGACACCCTCCGAGCCCTCACCTCGATCTGTCGGTAGTCACAGACAGCCTTGATGGGGATCGTGCTCTTCACAACGTGCTCTGGGTTCCTGGGCCGGAGCTGGACGATGGTTTTGGATCGTCCCACCAGGCTGGCGACGGAGCTCTTGGACTGAATGAGCTGCTCCTTCTCATCCTGGCAGAAAGAAGGACGATGGACGGGTTGTCCAAGGCTGAGGAGGGGAGGTCTCTCCCAGGCATTTCGGGACCCCCCCACCCCAATGCTGGCCTGCAAGGGCTGAACAAACGTCAGGAGGATCCTGCTGCCCTGACGGGATGGGAAGAGGGGTCAGATGGGATGGAAGGAAGAACGGGGTGGGACCTCTCCACTACTACTCCCACTGCCCTGCAAAGCCACATGCACACCTCTGGCTCTTTGGCTGCTTGGACAAGAAAACGTTTTCTTTCAAAAGGGCAAAAACAGAAAACACAACATACACCAAAATTACAGTCCCAGGAGGTGTGAGGGGCCAAGAGCAGGACGAGCTCCAGCCCAAAGCCGGGGACGTTTAGTTGTCTGGAGGAGAGACCATGGACGCATGCTCCCTTCTCTAAAGCAAAGGATGAAGGCATGTTGAAACCAATGGCTGGAATGGGATACGATGAATTATGCGGATAAAACATCTCAGGAGAAGGGGCTCGTGGTGGAGTGACCGCACAGGCCTCTGGGGCTGGGGAGAAATTTGCCGGTCGGAGGAAAACGCTGCGTAATTGATTCCTGCAAATCCCTGCTGGGTTTGGTGACGGGAAAACCCAGGGGACTGGCGGCAAAGCTCCCCTGGAACAGCCTCCGGCAGCGGCGGAGACGTGTGCGGATCACGGCACTGGCAGCTCGTGTGATTAGTGACAGCTCAGCCCCTTCTGGCTGCAAAGGTTTAGAAAGGATCCCAGAAAATGTCCTCCCTCATGCTCGGTACTCTGGGGTTGGTTAGTGTGCTTGACGACAAGTGGAGGATAATTTAATGGGTTTAAGAAAAAAAAGGGGAAAAAAAAAAAAAAGAAAAAGAAAAGAATAAATGATTAAATAAACTACCTGTGCCTGTCCCAGGGAGCATGATTGGAAGAAATACAACTTTAACTTATTAGGTAAGAAAGAGTAATAAAGCTGAGCTCAGGGCAGCTGCCCCAGTCCTGAGATCATGGCTGTTCTCCAGTTGACCAGAACAGCCTCTCCCACCCCAGACAGCACCTGCCCAGACTCCTGGCGTTTCAGGGTTCCCAAACACACACCCCAGGAGCCAGGCTGGCTGCTCCATGTTCTAGCAGTGCTGGAGGACAGACTAGGACAACCCTGAGACCATGACAGAGAGGATGGGGCAGCCCCCAGGCCTCCAGGAGAGAAGACAGTGCTGATGCCCCATCACAAACACCCAGTAACGGCATCCCAGTGTCACTGGGGACACACTGGGGATCACTGGTGTGCACTAAAAGCAAAGTCCAAGTGATTCCTGCCTCCACACACTCACATGTCACCTCCTGGCCCTTCCACCAGCAGCTCAGCATTTAACCCACAGCCCAAATCCTCCCCTGGCCCTGGTTTCAAATGCCAGCTGATGCTTTGCTCCTTGAGGTTTGTTTTTAGGTTGTTTTTTTTCAGGCCAATTCAGACAAGAAGATGACAGAGCAATGGCCTGGTCTCTGCTCTCTGCTGTGCCACAGCTAAGCCAGGCCACGTGTTCAGAGATCAACCCCTGGCACAGCCAGGCTGCCCTGGCTCTCCCCCATCCACGGCGATGGATTAACGTGGGATTTGGGCTGGATAAAGAGCAGGCATTTCTCCACATCCCACCAGCTCAAAAGCAGAACCAGGAGCATCCTGCAGGCTTTGTTAGCAGAACTCAACCACGGTGGTACGACGGGAACGGATGGGGCAGAACCAGCTCACAGGTCAGGCCGTGAGCTTGCACAGGCAGCACAGGGAACCTGCTCTGCACCCTGAGGACACCGAGAGGCTGAACGGTGCCTCTACATGACAGTGACCAAGATCCAGCCACCACACAGCTGGGGTCACTCACAGCTGCACCCCACAGCCACGTACAAACATGTTCTGCAGCCCCAAGAAAAAGCAGAACATTGACTGAGGTGGAAAACAAACCACGTTACATCAAACCGTGGGAATAAAGAGCCCGGTTTTCCCTGGGAAGCAAGAGGTGCCCCAAGCAGTGCTGCTGGACCAGAAGTCATCCCAGGGCAGTAGGATGCTGGAGAACCCACCATGGAGTCCTGCAGCAGGTCCTCCAGCCGCGTCAGGCTCGTGTTATGGTCGCAAGAATACTTCCTTCTGATGGAGTCCTGCAGGTTCCGCAGGTACGTCTCCGACTCCCGGGCGTCGCTGAAGAACTGCAAAGGCAAAAGGGTCACAGAAACCTGCACTACAGGGAAGCTGATCCTTTTTTTTTCCCATCCAGCAAGACATCCCTAGAGAGCAGCTAAGAGATATTCGGGAGAAACCCTGAGCACCCCAAATCCTCCTTCCCTCTCCCCCAAAGAGAACAGCGGCACAGGAAGCTCATGCAGCAGGATTCAGCGGATGGTGACCAAGGGAATTTAGGCTGCCCCTCCCAAATACCTGAAAATAGGCAGCGTTCTCCTTCACGTGCTGCTCCACGCACAGGCAGAGCTGCTTAATCCACTGCCACTGAGTCTGCACGGCAGCGCTGTACGCCTGGGAAACACACGGAAAACGGCGATGGATAAGGAGCATTGACAGCCAGGAGGGTCATGGGAAGGACACGGCAGGAGGGACATAAATGAGCAAGAAGAGTTTGGATACAAGGCAGGAAGAGCAGGAGATGGCAGACCCTGGACCATCAACATCTCTGTGTCCCACACACCCACGGGTACACGATTCCAGGGGCCGTGGGATGCACAGGTTTGCTTTCTCCCAACCCAGAGAGAAACCCCAGGGAGAAACGGGTCCCTGCAGCCCTTTGCTTCACCACCACAGCACCCCTGGAAGCCTGAATGACCCCAGGGCAGCCAAGGCCATGCCCTGTATCACCTCGCTGCAGGGAAGGCTCACGCTCTGTGTAAGCGTATTTGTGTTTTAACTTGAGGTGGAGATTATTTGGGAATGGCCTCGAGCTCCTCACTGCACTTCCCAAAATAAAACATCTCTATCACTGCGCTGATGTTCTGCCACCACGAAACACTTTATCTGGCACTGTGGGGTGGGACAGCAAGCCTCCCAGTCCCAGATGAGAAGATTTGCTGCCAGCTGGTTCTCAGGAATCTCCCAACTCCTCCAGGTGCCCACTCACCTCTACAGTTTGCTTAGCTGGGTGGTTTTCCAGGGACAGCAGCTCAGCCGTGTCCTGGAGGGAGCGGAAGATGTCCTGTTTCTCTTCCAGCTCTGCCATCAGCTCCTGCATGAAGGACACAAGCAAAGTCCAAACCTTACGTGTGTGGATCGACTTCACTCAGACCATGTATCCAACTAACACAGCATGGAAGAGCTCCAGGGAATACCAGTGTATCCCAGGGAATCCAGCACAGCTTATGGGAGCACCACAGCCCATTCCCATTGGGATGCCTCCTGTGTGCCAAACACACAGGGCAGATGTAACACAGACACTGGAAACCTGCCCGGGGACCTCTTCAGCTCCAGACAGTGTGACTGGGGAAAGATGGGAATTTATTTATACTGCTTTTAAAGAGGAATCAATTTTCCTCTTTAGCTCAGACTTTACTTCCCCTCCACTAGTTAAATGTGCCTTCAGTTCCAAACAGTGCTAAAAATACATCTTTTGATGCCTTTTTGATTGAAATTCAATTGAACACAGGCTTTTTTTTTGCACTTTCTGCTCTGGGGAGAACTTTCATCAGCTCCACTCAGGAGCTACGAGCTCAGTGACTTGGGAGGGAGCATCCAGCCTCTTGGGGATTCGGGTCTGTTGGGAGCTGAAGGTCCCACAGGGGATCAAAAGCAGCAGCAGCACAACCAGGAGAGCACCCGCCCATCCCACCATCCCACTCACTGAGAAGTAGTTCTTCTTGGCTGCAATGTTGGGGTTGTTGTCGCTCCAGTCATAGGCCAGTTCCTCCTCCTCCTTCTCATTCAGCCAGATCAGCTCAGCCGTGGCCCGAGACACAAACCCGTGCAAGCTCTGGAGGTGTCTCAGCCGGAAGCTCGAGGTTTCCTGGACACAAGGAAGGATGATTCCTCTCCCCTGCTCTGAAGGCCATGGGTGCCTTCCCCCCCTCCCCAGCCTTGGAACAGGGATGCTCAGGAGCAGGACAGCAGGGATGGACCCCAGATGGGGCAGTTCTAGAAGCCCACTCACCATCAGCTTGCAGTACTGCGTCTCCAGCTTGCCAAGCGTCTCCGTGTAGCTCGCGCGGAAATTCGGAGACATTTTACCCTGAAGGACAAAAAATGCTCCTGTTGCCCGACACAGGATGGCATCACTTGAAACCCCATCCCCACATCTTCCTCCCCAGCTCTGTGTGAGGAAGAGGAGGTGGAGAGGATGGCTCAGGGCAGCAGCCTCTTGCACTGCATCAATTCAGAAGCTCCACCCTTAAAAAACACCTCTGTCCCAGGCACCTTCACCCACCAGAGCTGACCCCAATGCCCTCACCCCCCTGTACATGTCATGCCATGCACTGTGTCACCCAGCCCCTGCCATACCTCGTACATCCTGGCCTCCTTTACGCTGGATCCCAGGTCCTCCACGCTGGTGTGGATGTGCCGCTGGGTCTCCAGCTGGGATTCCACACTTGGAAGGTCAGTCCCCCACTCTGCCCGCTCCAGTCTCATCTGAAACAGGCCAAGAGGCTCAAGTCAGCATTCCTCATCTGCAGGAGCTCATCCCAAAAGGACACGAGGGCAAGGAAACCTCCCAGGTCACTTCAGAAGGAACAAACACCAGCCAGTCCTGGTAGAAGATCCTAAGCCAGTGCTCCAACACTGAATCATTTCTGAGACAGCCTACACAAGACCACCTGCCCCCATAAGACCAACTGACTGCATCAGTACAGGTTTGCTTCCAGCTTTGAAAGGCTTCCCAGTACCCACTGACCAGCAGGATCACAAGAGAGAAAACCCACTTCAAGATGAAAGAGCTCTCCAGAAACACTGAACCACCAAAGCAACCATCCATAGATAAAGGCAGGAAAAAAGCCCAGAGTAGCTTCCTGCCTTCCCACATCAGCCTGAGCAGAGGCAGGAGATTTGGCCCAGCACTCACCTGCATCTCCTCCACCCAGGCCAGCAGCTCGTACACGAACCGGAGGCTGCCTTCATCTTCAGACGAGGAGATGGCCACCAGCTCTGTCCTGGTCATGGGCTTCCTGAACCAGGAGGCCGAGGAGGTGTGGAGCCCCTTCGTCAGGGACTCGCCCTTCAAGTGTGTCGTGCTCAGCGTGGACGTGGGCACCAGCTCCAGGGTGGAGAAGTGGCCTTTCCTGTACAGGTTGGTGCATTCCAACCTCAGAGTCACCAGCTCGTCTTGCAGCCGCATGATCCTGGGGGAGCAGGCAAGGAATGGGTAAGGAGATACACACGCCCTCCCTCCCACCCCAGAACAGAGCAGAGGGGTCCCGTGCAGGCCCTGACTACGTTTCTCCATCTCAGACACAGTCCCTCTCACCTGAACACCAGCTCCTCCAGCTGGTAGTAGTTCTCATCCCGAAGGATCTGCACATCCACCTGGAGCTGGCGGATGAGCCCCTCGCACTCCTGCAGGTACACGACCACGTCGGACTCGTACTGCACCGGCTGGCCTGACTCCAGGTGAGCAGCATCCTGCACCAGGAGAGAGGACACGGAGGGCTGGGTCCCCTCAGCCCAGGAGAGGCAGGGAGAACACAACAGCAGCCCAGCATCAGCTTTGAGATTGAAAAAACCTTTTGATCCGCAGGCTTAACTTGAGCTGAATGTGAATTCATCCCTCATACCCCACCCAGGACATTCCCCCTTAGAAAAACTGCTGCAGATGAACTGAAAGCTTCTAGGGATAGATGGGATCACTGTTTTTAGCTCCCAACCCTTTCAACCAACATCTCTTTCTCCCAGAACAAAAAAGTTCTCTTCAGAAACCTCCTCCCTACCCAGGGTCTGCCACCGAGTCCTTCCTGCCAGTCCTTTAGGCAAATAAAACACATTTTGGGGGTTTTAGGCCTCATTATACAACAAGCTTTCCCAGAAGTGCTATTCTCCTCCACACCAGCACCCCAGCAGTTCCATCCCTAGAAGGCAAGACCATTCCCTGGCCACCCTGCCCCCAAGATCCTCCACAACAACCACAGTTCACCAGGTATCCACCACCCCCACTTTAGCCCCTCTGGGATAGGCCCAAGGGCAGAAGAGAAAGGAACATTGTCTAGGGGAATCCATCACCCCAGACAGAAAGAGAGGGGAAGAGATGGGTACAAAAGAAGAGTAGGAAAACAAAGAAGTAAATAAAATTAGGAGGGGGAAATACCACCCCCCACTCACAGCCTGTAGTGTGTTCTTCGCCAGAGTGAGTTTTTCTTCACAGCTCAGAGCACCATTCTGGATTTTGTTAGCGATTTGTAGCAGCAATTCCAGCCTGGAATGACAGAGGGAGATGAGAGAGAGGCTTGGGGTGTCCCTCTGGCCAGGGGAGCAGGAGACATCCCTTCCACAGCCACAGCACCAACCTCTCCACTGCCGGCCGCAGCAGCTTCTCGCGCTCCAGCATCTCGATGATGAGCTTGCCCCACTCCTCCTCCACATCGTTGGGGTGGTAGCCCTGGGGCAACTTGATGCGTCCAAATTCAATCCATACCTGGGGAAAACATCAACAGATTGGCACTGCCCACCTCCTCCTTGAGCTGGTTAGGGATTTCAGCAAGGAAAGGGGCTTAAAAGGCACCAGCTCTGCCTCTGCTCCCACAGTTTGCTGCTTGCTACATCATTCACCCTGAGGGTTATTCCCACTTCTCCATTCCAAAACAAACCTGAACTGAGCACACTTCAGTCTTGCTAAAAGCACAACACTCCCACCTACAAGCCTCCAGGTAGCCATGATGATCCTTACCTCTAATAGTTTGTAGAGCTCCTCTATCCTTCCTTTTTCCTGCTCTTTTGCTGGGATTTCAGTTTCTTTGAAGTGTATGTACTGGTTATAAAGTGCCTGGGATGAGAAAGGCTCATCAGGAACCACCCTGGGGAACGCCACCACCCCTCCCTTGGCACTGAGCACACAGGACACTGAGGATGGACCTTGTCCAGGACCTACCTTTAGCTCTACAGGGTTCTGGGGGAAGGATTTGTCTGACATGAGTATCGTGTGCTGCTTGATCCATGAGATGAGGGACTCCACACGGGTCTGGTATTCCAGCCACCTCGAATCCACCTCCTGTGGGGTGAGAGTGTCTTTGCAGAGCACTGCTGGTGGGCAAGTCTCCATGGGGAAAAGGGAGAGCCCGGCAGAGCACAGAAGGAACTGAAGTGCCATGGTCAAGCTACTGGGTGGATCATCTGTGATGCCATCCCAGGTACAAGGAGGAGGAGGAGGAGGAGGAGGATCTTCCTTGCAAGTTGCTCACTGGAAGCCAGCTCAGCTTTCCCATGAGCCCAAAACCCATGGAAGAACCCGCAGAGCTTGGAGAACACCACAGCCCTACAGGCACACCAGCAGGTCACAGGGCACACACGCTAATGGGGAAGCTCCTTCCTCTCCCCAGGCCTCTTCCACCCATCAGCCATCTGCTACACAGGGAACCTTCAAACCTTTCCCACACCAACCAGCTGCCTCCCAGATTGCTTTCCCAGCCTCCCAAACCACAGCAACACTTACAATAGCGCTGATCCCTTCTCCTCCCTCAGGGACTTTGGGAAAGGCATCATAGATTGAAGACACATAAGTTATCACGGATTTCTCATCCGGAGAGGGGACATCCACATCTGACAAGAGGGAAGCAGAAAAGGCAGTGAGGAACAGGAGTGGGTGGAAAGGCCAGCATTTCCCTGCACCAGCCACATCCCCCAGGCTCCCACCTTCAGCGTCCAGCAGCCGGGTGACCCCCAGGCGCTCGGCGATCTCGAAGGCCTGCTCCAGGTTCTCCCGGTTGCTCTGGATCTGCACCCTCTCCATGTCCACCAGATCTGGCCTGCAAGACACGCACCAGAGTCACAACACTGGCAGACAGCACGAGGTGCTCAGGGCAGAGCATCCTGGATGGGCATCACTGCCGTGGGTGGCTCCGAGGGTTTGTCCCAGGCTGGTGGCTCTCTGAGGGGACCTGGGCTGCAGCACCTCCCCAGCTCATTCCCTTTGGGAAGGGGGAGGTTTAGGCTGTGAAGGAAAACCTCTTGGTCCCGTTGACTAAGCAGCCAGGGCAGAAACCAGCCCTGCTGGCCCCGTCTCTGACTCACTGCCCACGCTGAGCAAGGCAGAAGGTGTGAAGGGCTCTGCTGTCCCTCAAGGAAAGCTCTCAGGAAAGCTCTGAGATCCTTGGATAAAAACACGGATGAAAGTGCTGCTATTCATGGAAAACGAAAGGGCAGCACCAACATGTAACCACTGCAGCACTCAAGAGTTTAAAAGCTTTTCTTTTTTTGCCTCTCTCCCCAACCTCATCAAGACTTTTTTTTTTTCTTGCAAACTGATGTATTTGTTGCTCATTCCAAGCATCCACCCCCCAGCTACCTGGCAGAAGAGATAATTCCAGGTAAAATGACATTGCTCCCTGCAAGTCTCACCCACATCCTCAAGTTCTCCAGACCATCACTGACTGCTGTGGTGGGCAGGAACCCCCAGGAGATCCTCATCCCCTCTCCCACCCACGCAATGCTCCCCACTGCTCCTTCCTGCCTACCTGTATCTGTGGATGAGCGCGTTGAACATCTTCCCATCGCTCCAGCACGAGGAGAAGTTGGTGCACTTCACCCCAATATAACCTGCTGTCACCTTTTGTGTCCACAGAAGCAGCTTCTCCTTGGCTGACATATCCCCCAGCTCCCCGCTGATGTAGATGTCGGAGATCTGTAAGGAAGTGGCACAGCCGTGGGATGATGCAGGAGCAGGAAAGGCTCCACCAGGCACATCCAGTTTCTGTGAACTTGCCCCAGACCTAGCAGGTGCCAGGAAGGGCAGGAGTAAACTCCTGGTCACAGTGGGGTAGAAGGGTGGCAAATTTGGGAATGGACCACCAGACCTGCAGGAGGGTGCTGGGGGTGTGGCGTGGTTTGGGCAGGCTGGAGATCCAGGCAGGTGAGGGAAGCAAAGCCAGACATTTGCCAACCCCATTTCACAGCGGCACAAGGTGTTGCTTGGCTGTGCAGCCCAACCCAGTCAGGACAGGAGCTGCCACCACCAGACCCCAGCTTCCTACTACCACTGGAGCCACTCCTCTGCACCATCCCCATCCCCACCAGCCAGGGTTTGGGACACACCTCACTGGGAATGTAACGTTCTGGAGAAAGGAGGCCCCAGGCAGGTCCCTTCCTGTCCCAAACACACTGTGCCAACTGCAATGCTCTTGTACATCTGCTCCTCCTGCCCAGCACCCACCACAAGGAGCCCCAGCACCCTCGGACACCTGGGGCTCCCATGGTGAGCAGCAAGGGAGCACCCAAGGAGGGACCACCAACACTATCCCTTGCCAGGGCTGCAGGTGTGGCAAAGGATCCTCCACCTGGAGCTCCAGGGCACACCTGGATCATCCTGTTGTAAAAAATACCAACTTAAGAAGCACTCGGAGACCACGTCTCTCCCCGACCTCCAGCTATGGAGCAGGGCCACCAACTCCATCCCGGCGGGAAAGGGAGGGATGGGGAGAAGGCTGTCACATCCCCCCTCTGCCTTGCTGTGCCTGGAGAGGCAGGTGCCAGGGGGTGTTGGTGGCAGGGGTGCCATGACCCACTTCCCCAACAAAAGAGACCGACAGTCACGGACCCCTCAGACAGACGCACAGGACTGGCTGCGAATCCCAGACCGGCACGTGACACCACGCACGTGTCTCCACATGCCAGCATATTTCTGATTGGCACGGCTTCCTCCTCGCCCTCCCCCTCCTCCAGCTCCCCAATTAGTACAATTACCTCCCCTTAATTAAGGGGCAGACAAAGGGGAGGATGTGAGCTGCTCAGATTTTCCGGGGTGCCTGTGGAAAGGCAAAGGCAGGCTGGCTGCTCCCTGGATTCCTCCTCCCGGCACTGCAGGGAGAAGGTGTGCCAGGACCCGGCCCCACCCGCCACCCTGAAAACACCCAGTTGCTTGATTCCTCCTCAAAATACACCCAGTTGGGTGCTGGCATTGCACAGGTCCCAGCGGTCAGACATCCCTTTGCAGGCAGGAGACAGGGACCTGCAGGATTATCCGTCTCTCCATGCTGCCGGTGTAATTGGTATGCTGCAGCTCACCTCCCTCTCCCGAGCCTGATACGCTCATCACACATAAAACTGCTCTTTGTCAGCTGCTGCCACACCGCCGGCACTGCCTTTAACTCCTCCAGCCCCAGGGCTGGGTTTCCTTAGGGATGTCGGGAGCTGGCACCTGGCGGCAGAGCCAGGATGGTCAGGGCAATGAGCTGGGTGAGCAGCAGGATGCAGGATGGGACCCTTCACGTCTGCAGGGAGCAGGAAGAGACCCACAAACCTCCATCTGCTCAGCACCCCATTCTTAATTACCTGACAGCTCTTAATTAAGAGAATTGAACCCTTCTGTGAACCCACCCATGGGCTGTGCCCCACCCAGGCACTGCTGCCCATCGGGGAGCACCTCACAGCACCCAGCTCTGACAAATCCTTTATTTTTAACCACTGACACAGCACTGAGGTTCTCCAACCACTGGGCCTTTTCCCTGAGAGCATCTTTGCAGGAGACCCTCCTAGAGACGCGCCTACAGAGGTGCAGGATGCGGCACCAGCTCCACCCTCCTTTCTTCACATCTCTGTGACAGGACAAAGATTTAGGGAGGCACCAGCGAGAAAAGAGAGCGGAAACTCGCAGGACCTGGGGCCAAAGCCTTCCAACATCAGCCTCGTGCATCAAGCAACTGGTGGCAGGATGCTGAAGGCCAAATTGTGCCTGTGACACTGGTCCCAAGCCAGTAAAGGTATCAGGGACCACAGCCCCTCGAATCTTGTCCTGGGGTGTGCAAAGCTTGGACAAAACCCAAGGGCACCATCACCTGCCCTGGCACCCCCAAGGAGTGACCTCCAAATAGCAACAAGCTACAAAACACAGTATCATCCCCTCCTCTTCCTCTTGGAGACCCCTTGGAGTAGGCAGAGCCCCCATGTCTCCACATTCACCCACTGCCACCCACCTGGGAGCTGAGCACAGACAGCAGGAAGGGGACACCACAAACTCACACCTGACCCAGCAGCCCTGAGTGACCCAGCACGTGTGTCACTGGTGACAGCAATGGCACCGAGACCCTGTGTGACCACCAGCCGCACCCAGCAGCTCCTGTGACGGCCGCTCTCAGTCTGCCCGTGCCAGGAGCAGAAGACAGGACAGGGATACTTTCCCAGAGGAGATGCTGGAGGAGAAAAGGCTTCAGGAGCTTTCTGCACCACCGTCCTCCCGCCCGTGCTCAGCATGAGGTTGCCCCTTGCTGGGATGACCATCCCCGGGGGCCAACAGGATCTGGGGTCCACTGAACCAGGTCCCCCCGCCCCACTCCAAAAAGGGGGTGAGGACACACGCAGGCACTGACCATTGCTCCGGCTGTCCCCGAGCTCCCCCTCCAATCCCAGCCCTCCGCAGCGAGCCTGTGGCCACCATCAGAGGGTGACACCGTGGTCCCACCAGCTCCCGTGGCCTTGGCTGGCCGGTGTGCCGGGTCGCTGCCGTACCCCGAGGAGCTCCGGGCCGCGCTGAAGGAGGACGGGCTGCGGGAAGCTGGCAGTCCGTGCCCATCTCCCTCCCCGGACCGAGACGATGGCAACCCTGAGGTTCTCCCCACGCTGGGGTTTTCCAGCTGATCCACCATGGGGGACGGCGTAGACAGCTCCGAAACGGTGCCCGGCTCTGCTGCGGAGGAGCAGGTCCATGCGGCGCTGGAGCTGGGATCATCACTGCCTCCTTTCCCCCAGGCATCCAGGGCACTGCCAGCCCCTGGCTCCCGGCTTTTCGCTGGCTCCTCGCCGGACACGGCGCTGGCGGGGGACAGGAGCCCCTCGGCGTGGCCATCGGTCCCCCCGCGCAGGGGCAGCAGCACAGCCCGGCAGCTCCCGGTGCCGCTCCTCTGCAGCTCGACCAGCCGGCTCACCGCCTTCTCGCAGTCCTTCTCGGCCGGGTTCTCCAGCAGGCGGGCGATGACGGTGGTGCCTTCCTCCCGGGAAGCTCCCGCCACACCCGGCCGCTGCGGCTCCAGCACCAGGCGAGCTTTCTGCACCTCCCCCTGGAAGCGCTCCTTCACCTGCACGATGATCCCGGGCTGCAGCGCCGACGGGTCGGGGTCCCCGCCGCGGGGCTCCTCTCCTCCCCCCTGCCGGGGGGCTGCCTTCGACTTCGGCGCCTCCTCATCCTCAGCCACCTCCAGCGCCTGGGGCTCCTCCTGCGGGGCTGCCTCCGGCATCGCTCTCCTCTTCCCTCTCCGCCTCCGTTTGAAGCGGACCCTTTTTTTGGGAGACAGCGGTGCCTTTCCCACGGCTTTTTCCTTCTGCTCTTTAACGCAGCCCAGCGAATTCCCCATCTCCTCCTCCTCCTCCTCCCGCTCGGTGCCGGCAGTAACGCAGCTAAGCGAGTCGCCGGCTCCCGAATAAATCCCAAACCGGGCTTCATCGGATCAAGCGCCCGGCGTTCCACGGACTGCCCCTCGCCGCCTGTCCCTCCCGCCAGCCCTGCCGCCACCGCCGCCGCTCCAGACAGCCATCTTACAGCCTGGGCGCTGCAAGGAGACAAATTCAAAGCATCTCACTGCAGTTCAGAAATCACTTGACCTAAAAGCAGGGGGAGCGGGGATTGGCTGCGGCGTCCTTCTCTCCAAATATGAGGTAATTGGAGCACGGCCCTCGCCAACACAAACAGGGAGCAGGAATCAGGCAGCGGAGCGAGGAGGGGAGTGGGAGAGGGTGGGGAAAGGGGGGATAAAACACAAAACCCGAGGAAGGTTGGCAAAGGTAGGATAAAGGAAGGGGTGGGAGAGAAATGGGGAAAAAAAAAGAAAAGCAGGGAGGAGTCAGAGTGACTCTGCATGCTCGCCAACCGGCTCCGCAGGGGTGTTTCTCTCCAGTTCGGGAGGTTTGCTCCTTAATTCTTAATTCCAAGAGCCCCAGAAGACCAGCTCACGTGCCCACACTCCTACCAGGCTCGCCCAGTTTGGGGCACAGATGGGCAGCCCAAGGTGCCCTGGGGACACGGCATCGCTTCAGGGAGCTGCAGTTGGAGGGTCCCAACAGGAACAGCAGTGTGATGTTCCCAATCCCACTCCAGCACCAGTCCTGCCTCTCTCCTGCAGCTTCTGCCCCAAATGCTGCCCAAAAGGGCAGGGGTTTGAGGAGCATGGAGCATCCCAACTCTGCTCACCGGGTCAGAGCAGGGTAACCAAAGTGGGGCAGCATCCAAACTGGGGGTGTCACAAAAACCGGGGAACAGGAGGCATAAAGATGGGGGGACTGAGCTCAGCCCCAGCAAGCAGGGAAAAAACACTCAATGAGGAAACACTCAACGAGGAGCAACCCTGGAGATGACTAAGGGAAACCAGTGACCGCAAGAGCTCCCAGGGCACAGGGAAGCCCCCAGGGCATGGGGGGGCACCCCCCCTCATCTTCACCACTCCAGCTCCCTGCAGAGCTGGTGATGCCCAGGCTCTGCACCAGCACCACCCCACCACAAACCTCTCCCGGGTTCTCCCAGCCGCCTGCCCCCAGGCAGCAGCGCTGGGACACGGGAGATTAAGAGGCTCACAATGGAGCTACAACCCCAGAAAAAATCCCGTTAGCGCAGGCGGGGACAGGACGCGCAGGCTCGGCGGCACCGGCCCCACTCTCTGTGTCACCCACCCTGTGCCCCACGGCAGAGTGGCAACATCCCCTCCCAGACAGGCATGGAGGGCATGCAGGACCTCCTGATGTGCCCTCTGTGGTCTCCTGCAGCAGAGGATGCATCAGGGCAGGGTGACTGCAAGGACAGCAGGGACAAGATGCCACAACCAGGGCCCCACTGGAGATGACGGTGACTCATCAGCATCCAGAGCCTGCTCGACCCCGGCCGCTTCCCAGGGCCAAAGCTCGGGAAGAGCGCCTCGTCAGCAGCCTCACACCCAGCTTATCCCCCAAGCTCCTCCCAAAGGCCTCTTCCCGAGGCACTGCCCATCCTCCAAAAAAACATAATCTTCCTCTGAAGTGTCAAAGCCAGCACTAGTCCTGTCTGGAAGATGCCAGCAGGCAAACAGCAGGAAGCTGGGACACGGCAGTTCCCACGGGCTCAGGCCCACAGTGGAGATGACTCCACAGCTAATGCCACGCGGCCACGAGCTGCTGACAGCAGCACCACTCAGCAAGCCCCACATGCCAACACACTGGTGGCACTGGGGGCCACACATCATGCCCCTGAGGGCATCAAAGCTACAACCAGATAATTTGAGGCTATTAAAAACCCAAAACCCTCTTTTCCAAGAGCATCCCTAGCACACAATTGCTGGAGACGGTCCCGGGTCAGGGAGCTTCTCTCCTCTCTGCCCTGAACCACTGTCACACAGCTGACACATTCCATCCCAATGACAAGTCCTGTGGCTGCACCGACCACCCAAAGGGCCGGGAACGACTCAGGATAACAGCCCCGTGGCCCCTTCCGAATTTGCTCTTCTCCAGAGCCTCCAGCTGAGCAAACAGCTACTGCCAACAACCCCGGTGCCAACCGGGAGGCCACCGCACACAGCCCATCATTAATGCTTTCATTATGCAGACGATGAGCAGAGGGTGTTGCTGTTCTCCGACACGGTCTCCATGACACTGCAGTGTGTGTCGATCCTCCGGACCCATCCGCGCGCCGGCACCGCCACGGAACACGCAGGAACACGGATGTTGGCACCCCGGAGAGACAACCCCGCCGCCCGCCCCACAGCCTCCAGCAAGAAACTTCCACGGCCCTACCTGGAAGTGGAGGATGATCGTCCATATGAGCCCCAGGGTGAGCTTGGGGTTGCCGTCCGTGATGTCATCGTTGCGAATATTCACCAGTTTCACCTGAAGAAGACACGAGAGGGTCAGAGCTGCCCGTCAGCCCCACCCTGAGAGCAGGGGGACGTGTCCCCCACCGCGCTGTCCCACCCCGAGCACTCCTTGGGGAGTGGGCACACAACACCCCAGCGCTTCCCCAGGAGGCAGCAAGGCCACCTCATCTGCTGGCTTGGGAAGGATTTTTCCATGTTTCCAGCACTCTCCATCCAGAAGTGCTTTCCCAGCACTTAATGGCTTTACTTCAGCTCATGGAGCAGCGTCCCCGGAGCCCCGAGCACTGGTGCATAATTGAACAGCTCCAGCCCACAGAGCACGGGTAAAAGAAGATGACCAAGCTTTAACTCCATCCCAGGCTCACAACCAAGCTCTAATCAATCAGCCCTAATGAAGGCATTGCCCTCCCTCTTCTCCCTTGGGGGAGTCCCTGCTCCCCACCACTCAACGGGACCCACAATCAGTCTCTGGCAGGAGTGTCTGGGGTAAGACATCCCAGCAAGGCCACCAGGCCATCCATCACACTTCAAAAGAAAAAGCTGTTTCATCCAAGTGGAGAAACAAGTTCCCCAGAGCCCTTGGCAAAATGTCTCTATCAAGGAGCTGGGGAGGAGGAAGAGGCGGGGGGCTGGAAGCGGCTCACCCTCCCTGGAGTAGGGAATGTGCTCAAATTTATTCAGTGCCCTCAGGCCAGCAGCAAGCGAGAAAAGTCTCTGCTTCAGCATGAACTGGTACAATTTATCATCATCATCGCCTTGGCATATCTGGGAGCATCACGGTGGGGAGACCTGACCCAACAGGCAGAACAGGACACGCGGCCCCGGGGCTGCGGGGGTTTCACCTGCAGAGCCAACAAGTCTCGGGATGCAGCCCATTGCTCCAGGCAGGATCTGCCCAGGGGTGCGGAGCATGACTGGTCTCTGCCAGCTGCACAGGCACGGTGGGGCCAGCAGCTCCCAAAAGCCCAGGGGAGGGAGCCTGTCCTCCAAAAACTGAAGGATAATCAGTCCATGTTGACAGCCGGAGGGGTGATGCCACAGAGGCACCCGGCTGTGCCAGCATCGAGGCCAGGGCTGCGTGGGCTGGGCAGAACCAGCAGCCACACCCCCCCCCCAGAGCTGGTGGCAGGGCACGGATGTGCCACAGCTGCCCATCCCCACCACCAGGATCTGCTGAGGAGCCCCAGGTGAGGCTTTCAGGGCACAGACGTGACTGTTGGAGACATTTGCAAACCCCTTCCCAGAACTGGAGTTGGTCCCTCATTTTCACAGTAGTTTTTATGTGTATGGCTGGATTTCAGAGGGGGAATGGATTTCCCATTTTTCCCATGGGGAAAAGCCCCCAAAAGTCATCCTCAACCAGCACCATGGAGACGAGCACACCACAGCATGGGCTGATGCTGCTTCTCAACACCCTTCCCAAGCCCCAGCCAGGAGAAAGAACCACAAACCACCCAGCTCTGCTGGATGAGCCTCTGACAGCCCTTACCTGTCGCTGCTTCAGGAAATCCAGGGCAATCTGCACGTTCTGCAGACGGTGGAAGCGCATCCGCCCCTTCTCACGCGGCTGCAAGAGAGAGGCAGCAGCTTCAGGTCAGGCTCACAGGGTGGGCTGGGCTGGCAGCACCCCACATGCACAGTGGCCCCCCAGATCCCCTGAGAGCTGTCAGTGTGCTGGTGTGACCCCCTGTGCAGCCACACAACCTGCTCTATACCATTCTGGAGCAAATAAAGCCATGGCTGTGCACAATCCTGCTGGAAGGCGGCAAAAAGGCCCCAGAGGGAGACTGAAGTGGGAAAACCTGAGACCTAGACCTCTGCTGAGACCCTGAGGGTTGGTGTCCAGGCCTGGCAACAGGCAGGACTGGCTCAGCCTCCAAGATCTCAGGGCAGGATCTCACCCAGCCCATGGACAGCCAGACAAGTTGGGAAAAGGGTTCAGCAAAGAGATGGGCTCAAACAGCTACAGAGTCCGACTGATCCAGGTGGAAGCAGAGGGGAGGGCAGGGACAAGCTGTGGGTCCCCACTGATGGCAGAAGAACCCCAACCTCAGCATCAGCCCCTCCAGACCCAGCCTGGCTCTTCCTGCACATGGGCAGGGGCTGCTGCTTGAGATACCATCTCCAAATCCTTCAGGAAAGGGAAAATGAGACACCCTGGACTGTGCTTGTTGCTGCTGTAGGTCAGGGATTTCCAGAGGTACCCGTTGGCTGAGTTGTGGCCAGGGAAAAGGTATGGGGATGTTGGGTCTGCTTTGAAATCAGCAGGAGTGGGAGGATCAATGCCCAAATCCTGATCCCAGCCTCAATATGAGGATTCACCAGGATGTTCATAAAATCACAGAAAGTTTGGGTTGGAAAGGACCTTAAAGACCATCTAATTCCAACCCCTTGCCATGGGCAGGGACACCGTGTTCTGAACTGTTAGGACACCCCAAGTCCTCTGAATCACCTTCCTTCCTCAACCTGAAGGGAAGACCTGTCCCTGCAAGGAGAGGAGCTGTCCCTGCAAGGAGAGGAGCTGTCCCTGCAAGGGGAACATCTCCAGGCCTGCAGAGAACCATCAGGAAGGTGCTACAGCCCAAGCTCCTCCTGCTGAGGTGACACTGCACAAGGGCATCATCACCCAGAGCACAGGGGCTGGAAAACACATCTTCTCTTATACCTGACCAAGTTTTGGGGTCTGTCCCCTCCAGGCTGACCCTTGCCTGGGACTAGGCTGTGCTCGCTCCCACCTCCACTCACATGCACGGTCGTGCCCCGTATCCCAGGAAGTGCCTGTGCCCGGAGCCTGTCCATGCAGTGCCAGGTGAGCAGCCGTGTGGGACCCATCCCTGTCCCCTCCCACCCCGTGGAGGGACACATGCTGTCACACCGGGTGGGTGAGTGCCCTGGCTGCAGGCGGACGCTGCGGTGCACGCACAGATAATCCAGCTCACGGGAACGCAGCCCCGGAATGAGGGAGCATCTCCACTCTCACAGCTTCCCCTCCACACACCCTCGCTCAGGGCAACCACCCCAAGTGGGTTTTATCCAAAACCACGGCTAAAACCGGGGAGAGGGGAAGGCTGGGCTGCACTGGACTATCTGACGGCACTCCAGCGTCTGCCAGGCATAGGCTGCATCCAGGACAGGCTCAACCTACTTCTTCATCATCATCATCTTCCTCCTCACGCTCCTCGCTGCTTGCACGGCACCAGGCCGGTGCTCTCACCAGGCGAAGGCTCCGCTCAGCTGGCGGCTCTACGGGCTAACGAGGACGGGAGGGACGGCGACGGGAGGGTGACACAACAGGGGAGACAGAATGGAAACCAAAATGCAACACCCGGGTGCGAGGAGAAATAAAAGAGCAAGGGACGAAGGCGGCTGGGTCTCTGGCACGCTCCGAGCCCCAGCACAGGAATTTCCTCCTGATTTTGGAAGCTGGGAGCCGTGTGGATCATGAGTAGCGTGATCCAATTTTTCAGCCCCCACAAAAACCGATTTGGCGTCTCTGGAGGGTAACGGAGGGAGGTAGCAGATCTTTGCCCAGATCCTATTTTGGGGGAAAACTAAAATAATTCCTGCTGTGCTACCCTGTTACAGCAATCGGGATTCTTCCTGGAGCTGAGGGAATGTGTCAGTCTGAGAAGGAGGAGGAGGAGGAAGAAGGAGGAGGGGGGATTCCACGAGAAGAGGTTTGCACCACTGACTGCTACAAACCCAGCTCGTGCAGGAGCTGAGCACGGGGCAGGAGTGTCAAATCTGAGTTAAACTGATGGGCACGCTGCCACAGAAGCAGTTTTTAGTCAGATCCGCTATTATCCATGATTTTAAATTTGGAGCCAAGACTGGAAGATGCAGGTGTGTAAGACTTAGCAAAAAGAGGGCTTTACCCAGGGCACCATAATCAGATGCTTTGGTAGTATCCAAGAGAGACCAGCCTGGGGGACAGGGCTTTGAGTGAAAAATAATAATAATAATAATAATAATAATAATAATAATAATAATAATAATAATAATAATAATAATAATAATAATAATAATAATAATAATAATAATAGAAACAATGACAAGACATTTGAAAACAAAACTGCGGCGTAGGAAATGACAGCTGATGGCTGGGAGTGGAGGGGAGCAGGGGGAGGACAGAGGGGGCTCGGGGTGGGGGGTGGTTCCAGCATCCCTGTCCATCCCTGGAGACTTACCAGCTTCACTCCCGACAGCACTTCCAGGAGGGAGATGAGGTTGTGGCCATCTCGTAAATCCTCGTAGAGGTCGTTGATGTGCTTGCGCACCTGGGGAGGGGAAAAGCCATCAGGCCACTTCAAACTGTTACTCCAGAATCATGGCCAAGGAGAGCAGCCTCCCCCTTCCCAAACGACCTGGCAGAAGCTGCTGCCAATTTTACACGCACAAAATCTGACTGTTAAACCATCTGTACTCCAGGTAATCCCATAACACTGCACACAGACCCCTGCGGGAAGGGTAGCTCCTCCTGAGGCGGTGGTTTAACTTCTCACATTCCTCACAGCATCTCCCAAAACACAGCACCCAGATTCCACCTGGCAGCAGAGGAGGTTTCCATGGGCAGCACAGCAAGCTGACCCCATCCAGCCTCTGTTCCTGCTCTTCCCCAGACACCAAGGTTTCACTCTCCTGGGAGTCCCCAGATGTTTTCCCAGAGAAGCCTCAGGATTTTTCTGTTTTTTCCATCCTTTGTAAGATTTAGAAAGCAGCCAAAAGCTTGGCACAGAGTTTTGCAAAGCTGGCAGGAAAACACAGCTGGGACACCTTGTACCCAAGCCATTTCTTTTCCTTCTTTTTCTTTTTTTTTTTTTTTGGTTTTGTTTTTGGTAAATGGAGAATTAATTAAAACCCACCCGGCACTAACCAAGAAAAGCAGAAGGCACCTTGTGGTGACATGTTAATCCTGCTTAAAAACACGTCCCTTGGCACTGTTTGGGGCTCCTCCACATGCAAGTGCATCCTTTGAAAGACAAAAAAGCCCATTTTCCCTGGCAAGGTGGTGTGAGGGAAGAACCTCCTTTGCCCTGGCATGAGGGAGGATGCACAAGCCTCCTATTAAGCAAGGACCAGGTACCCAGGAGGGAAAGGTAATAAAAGGGCTGTGTGGTGATGCTACAGTGCCCTCCAAAGGCTCCAGCACATTTCCAGCACATCCTGCTCTGCTCTGAGTAAAGACACTCAGGAATACTGAAATCAAACAGTCCTAGGCATAAAAAAAAATTGTAAAAAAACCTTAAAAAGGCATTTATCTGCCAGTCCTGAGCTGGAACAGACACACACACGGTCATTTAACCAGCTTTATAATAAAATACGTGACTCTTACCTTCATCAAGTGTTTATTGACCCATTTAGTGAAGGTTTTCTTTTGGACTCTGTCCCGTTCATCTGTCAAAAGAAGACAAAGGCAGCTCTTGGTCAGTGGTTCTCATGCAGAAACTCAAATGACTTTGAAATGAGGGGAAGAGACAGAGGGATCGCCGCCGGTGCCAGGACGGATCCCGCGCCGGCACAGGGAACAGAGGCGGCTTATTCACGGGTTAGTGCGGGACAGGGCCGTTCACGAGGCTCCAACATCTCCCTGGGGCAGGGAAATGGGAGCTAGGACAAAATACACTGGTTTCCTGGGGAGAACAGTGCTATTTAACGAACGCAGCATGGGTGACTGGGATAGGTGTAACTGCAGCACCAACTGAACGCCCCAAATGTGCCCCCGCCGTGGCTCCTCGGCCCCTCTGGAGGCAGCACAGGGAGGGAGGGGGGGTTTGCCCGAGCCCACCCACTTTAGGAGGGTGTCCCTCTGCCCTGCCCACTCCCGGAAGGCTTTAGGGCATTATATAAACCCCCCAGATGTCCCGTTACAGGCCTCGGCCGGGCACCACCAGGGTGTGCAATTAGCAGCTTACTCTGTCGCTGTATTTTTGGTTCATTGGATTGTCAGGATTTAATGTTTATTTCTGTCCTGCAGCTCAGCCCTGGCCAGACACTGGGAGTTGTGAACGCCGGCGGGACACAGTGACAACGTGGGTGACACTCCCAGGGGGTCCCATCCCCAGGGGTGGCGGGGTGACAGGATGGGAGATTTGTGGTGATGCCCAAAAACCAATGGGAGAGCTCCAGGCAGGCTTTTTGCTCCATGGAAAAAATAATATCACATGAAAAACAAAGGCAAGAACACTAAAAGAGAGGGCACAAGATGGGCCACACACACTGGAGGGTTCCACAGGGTGCAGGGGGGTCCCACTCAGCTCCCACCTCCCCAGGCAGTGAGGAGGGCTCAGGGCAACCCCAGCAGCCAGCCCTGTGCCCAACGGGATCGCTTGGGTTTAACAACACCACCCCAGAGGAAAAAGTTCCTCAGCATCAACCCCACAGCACATGACCCCAGGCTCCCGAGCACTGTCCTGTCCATCCCAGGGGATCCCTGGGATATTCAGGAAAGGACAAGCCCCATTCCCCCAAGAGACTCCCTCTGACATCCGGGTCCACCAGGCAGCAGCACCCCTCGCTTTGGTTTTAAGTCAAAAATCAAGAAAAGGGAGAAAACAGCATCTCTCAGCCGGAGATCCCCATCCACACCACGTGTCCTGCCAGACAGCCCCACACCCCACTCCCTGGGATGGGGGGTCACTGAGAGTCTCTGCACAGTCCCAGAGGCCCTTGAGAAGACCTCCCAACATCTCCATCCACACAGTCTGGAAAGCACCATCCAACATCCTTCCTCTTCCTCCTCCACCCCACAGCTTCCCCTCCTGAAAGCGCCGCAGTCAGACACGTGGCACACGGCAACACGTCACTTCGCCATGTCCCCCTCCATCCCCGGGCCAAGGCACCCAATCAGGTGCCAAAAAACTACCCGTTGGTTGAACTACGTCCACACTCACTTCCCATCCTGCCAGGCTCCAGCCTCGGCTTCCCGGGACAATGCGGCTGAGCCACGGAGCTGCTGCCTGGCACCGCCAGCCATAGGAAGCTGTGTCACTCTCACGTGTTTTTAGGGACTTTTCCTTCATCCGACCCTCCCAGAGTCCCGGTGCTGGGTCCCTTCCCAACCCTGGTGTTAATTCAGGGTGGATAAAGCTCCATACCCCGTATCCCGTGCATCCCACAGGCTGGGCAGGGGAGGGTGGTGGGTACTAACCGATGCAGCACATCCGGCACACCAGGCAGGCGCTCAGCCGCCTCCTCTCCCCAGAAAGATGCCGCCTCTCCATCGCCCCAGCCCGGGATGGGGAGCGCTGGGTCCCGGCAAAGCAGCAGCTGCCTCCTGGCTCCAGGGGAAGGGTCTTCTGGCGGCACCACCCACTCGCCGACCTCGGCCCCAGTGGGTGCGGATGGGTGAGTTCTCACCCACAGCTCCTCCCACCACACCACTTCCTACCCCTGGTGCCCCCAGTGCGGGCACAGGCCGTTCCTCCTCCGGGCTATCACTGCAAACCTCACCACGATGTCAACGGCTGCTTTGCCCGCGGTCTCCCGGCTCCTCGGTTTCTCCGGGTGCTCCCAGCCCTGGGTGCCGCCAGCGCGGCAGCTCCGTGCCAGCAAAATCCTCACCCACGGTCCCAATGCCCGGCAAAGCAGCTTGGAACACTCCCAGTACGGAAGGGCAGAGCTGCCACCTCCAGCACGTGAGGAAGAAGCGGTGCCGAGTGCGGCGCAGCTCCGGCAACCGGCGGGTTGGGGGTGCGGGCACCGGCTCGCCCCACAGAGCTGGGCACTGCCTGCTGGCCGGCTCTTGGCTTGTTTTTCCTCGTCTTGTTTTCCAGTTAATTGCACCAGGGACAGGAGGGACAATGCTGGGCTGTTCTCCCCGCTCCCGCCTGCAGCTCCTGCCCAAATCATGTCCCGGGTCTGAAGCGCTGGAGCCGGGACACAGCGCAGCCCCGCTCGGCACGCGGGGAGATAACAGGGGCCGCCTTATCACCACCTCTCTTCCTTTTCTTCTAAATATAATCCCCCCGCAGCCCTCCTGCCGGCTGCTGCCCCAGCCAGGAGGGCAAGAGCAGCCAGGGTGGTGCCTCGGGAAGGCAGGAGCGCATCCCCGAGCATCGCACGGAGCACGCGGGGACGGAGGCACCGAGTCCCACACGGACAGTCTGCAGCCAGGCACCTCCAGTGCTGCATCCCAGGGTTGCCTGCAGGCCAGCAGCTCCTCGATGAGCTCCCTCTTCCCGTCTCCTGCAGAAATTGAGGGGTTTCCTCCTTTTTTTTGCCCTGTCTCACCACCTTTGGGTGGTTCCCGGGCTCCAACCAGATTAAACCTCCCCAGCCCGCACCCGCACTATCAGCTGAGCTAATAATAATGCTGGTTACTGCTTACTAACAATATTAAGGCATTGCAAGCTTATCTCTCCCTGGCTTATCTTTTCCAGAGTCACCCTGACAAACAACTTGTTGCAATCCCCTCATGTTCATCCCCTCCCTGGTTGCATCCACCCATAATCGTCCCCTCCCTGGTCTAGCAGAGGTTTGCCGGCCCCAGCCACCAAGAACCACCCTGTCACCAGCCAGGGACAGCGAGCAGAGGCAATGGCCTGGACAGCAGGCAGGTAGGGCACGGCCAGAGGGAAGGTTACAGTGGCTAAAGGAAATCTGTCCCACTCTGAAGACAAGCCAGCAGCAGGAAAAGCAACAGCAGAGCTTCAGGTCCCCTCGCACACAGGCCATGGAGCAAAGGCTGGTGGCAGTGACACAGGGAACATCACCAGCAAACAGAGACCGTGCATGTGGTTTAATTCCCTCCCCACCTCCTCTCCCCACATTGCACACCAGAGCTCAGCCCACCTCATCCCCAAAAATGGGGATCCCAAAGGAACCAGGGCATTGTCTGCCCTCCACCACATCAGCACAAATCCCCCCACAGACAGGCAGAAGCAGCAAGGATCAAGGAACACTGGTGGCCACACAAGGGGAAGGTGGTTTGGGGAACTTTCCCTCTGCTGTTGGTCCCACAAGTGAACCCAGCTAGCGAGGGGGAACAGGGAAAACCATCCTGCCCCATATCTGGTATCCAGTGCTCCAAAATCAGAGGCATCAGCTGAGCATGGAAAGAAAAACTCCTACTCACCGTCCTGCGACCTCAGGGCCCCCAGGCACTTGCCATCGTCACAGGGATGGCTCCCACAGGCACTGGGTGCCAGAAAACCCCCCCAGCACCACCACAACACCCTGCTCAGACAATTCCCTGCCTCCATCCTGGCAGCCTGCCTGTCCCCAGCAGCTCCCAACACGTCCGGCCAGGAGCTGCCGCTCCCCCATGGATCTCTCCTCCATCATCGCTGGCCTTGCTCTCACACTCCATCACCGTGTGCCTCCTCCTGCTCAGGCTGCTGCTGCCAGAGCCTGGTCCCAGCCCTGGGAATCAGTGGGATAGAAGGTGCCTGGCCAGGCACCATCCCTAATCCTAACCCTGGCTTGGCACCCTCTATCCTGTGTGTGCTCAGTGCTCCCCGGGATGGCCCTTTGCCATCCTTAGGAGGGAAGACAGGGGGGTTCATGTCGTCCACAGGCTCCTTCAGCCTCCTGGAATAAAGTTGGGAAGTGGCTCACAAACTTTCTGTCCCTGTTCATGAATTCCTGCTAAATCTGAAGGAATATGGGAAATCTCAGACAGGGCCCTGAGCTGGACAAGCTTGAGGACATCTCCGAGCCCATACTCAGGGTTAAAGTGGCATTAAACTGCGAGAGACAACCTTGGGGTGACAGAGGGGTTGGTTACTGAAAAATTCCAAAAAAATCAAATTTCTAAGCACCGAAACCCATTGCTCTCACTTCAACACAAGCAAAGAATGGGAACGCGCGGGGATTTTTTTAAACCTGGTCCCGTTAAGATGGGGGATATGCAAAAAAACCTGGCTGGCTGAGGAGCAGGAGGTATTTGAAACATGCTGGCTGCCAACTTGAGAGCTGACATAATCCATCATGACAACAGAGCCAACCAGGCGGGATTTACAGAGCCTTTCACCCAGGGAGAGGAAACGGAGCCTGATTCAGCCGGGAAGAATGCACAAGAGATACCTGCGGTGGAAAACTATCCAACACCCGGATATTTAATGAGGGAGACACCTGAGAAGTGGTGATGCAAAGGAGAGGGGGGCGGATGCTCAGCAGAGCTGGGTGAGCATCACAGGGCAAAAAACTCGCTGCAAGATGACCCCCATCTTCCAGGATGCTGTGCCCACGGGATGGGCTTCACCTGCCCTTTTCTGGGGAAGGAGTGATGAAGGAAAAGAGACATTGAATATACTTGCTGCTTGCAACACTTGCTCCAGGATTTTTTCCAAAAGGGATGGATTTTAGGGGGGGGGAATAAACCCCTCCAAGAAGGGCAAAGCAGCAGGTCGGCATGAGGAAGAGACAGTCAAGTTGGGAAGCATTCAGGAGGTCTC